ATTTTTTACCATATAAAACAAAACAACACAATATGCTCATTTCTTTACATTCCATCGATAGTACTATAATTATTGAATTAATCGGTGTCAAAATGAAGTCTTTTTTTTTTAATTAACTTTTAACAAAATGTTATTACAGCTCAAAAATTACCTACAACTGATAAAATACAGATAATCTTACGAAGTTAATGATCAGAGCTTTTGTTCTACCAGAAAAGTTGAGAAGTTGAAGTTATACAAACATTTTAAAATACCTCAAAACACCTCTGAAATTATTAGACTGGACAAAATAAAAAAAAAAATTGTAATTCATTTACAAGCCCCCTCCCCTTGAAAAATCTTGCGTACGCCACTGGTATTACGCAGTTTGAAATCGTGTATCCAGCTTACTATATGTTTAAACTATGTATTAAATTATAATATATTTTGTTTTAAATAATGTAATATGCATGGTAACATTGACGTTTAATAGTTTAAGATAAGAAGTGCCTAATACAGGTACGATCCTAAATGTTATTTAAAATTTTTTTTTTTTTTTTTAGTAAGTACTCTTGGTCAAAACCATTAGTCTTGACAGCTACATAAATAAATAAATAATTTTAATAGTGTTACGTTGATGATTAAATGTACTGCTTTAGAGGTACAATAATTATAAACTATACTATGAGATATTACATTATATAACATTAGAATATGTAATACAGCGGTACGAAAATTAATGAAGCGGTTAAGAAATGGAGCAAGTTCAAAATTAAATTGTTAATTAACTCGGTTAGTTTGGCTTTTTAAAAAATATAAGCTATTGTACATATATGAAATAACTGCTTTCTTATACAATTTGTTTTCACAATAACATAATATAAATATTTGTAATGCATGAACAATTATTGTTTTAGTCAAAGGGTCTGCAGCACTTGGGCTTGTAATATCACATAAATAGAGTAATTTTTAATATATGTATATAATAAATTAACTCAGCCTCTCATACTAATTATACTGCAAGCGTCAAGATTAGCTCGGCGAAAACAAAGACGATGCATTACATCCAGGTCGGTGGTTTAAGATTTTAAGCAGGTAAACCTCGACGCATATTGAATTTCTGAAGAAAAAAAAGACCGGCCATATTGTTTTTTACTCAGATATAATTTTTTTCGCGATTCACTGTACTATAACTCGGTTGCTTTAATCTTTAAATTAGTTTCAAAATTATTGTATTTGTTTCAATAACTATTCCAAACAGATACTTCTTCGGAAGCTTATTTTATGACTCGCCGCACAATATAAGCCGACAACCTGATCTATAACCCACTAGTTCAATAATTATTATTGTTCGGAAAAAGGTCGTCAACATTATTATTGTATACCTATCTGTGTCTGCATTTTATTTCCGTCCACGTGCAATATATTATATAGGTATGTGATTAGATTTCGTCGAAAATCAGTAGGTACCTACGACGAGAACACTTTCACAATATTGGAAATCGTCTACAACATAACTTATCAATAGTAACATCAATAATATATTTAGGTTCGGTGATCATGTCATGCATATAGGGAGCACGTGATTCGGACATGCCCATCAACGGTTTTTATTACTTGTCGTGCGTCTGTTTGTATTTTCCTATGATTCTATTCAATTCAGTTTTCAGTAGGTGTGTACGACCTATTGTCGATTACGAGATTCTATTATTATTTAAATATCAGCTATTGTACGAAATCAGTTGGCATAATGTTGGTGCAGTGCAAGAATCCTTGAAAACTGAAACAATATTTCCACAACTCACCCGAACCACACCCTTCTGCTTATCGTCACATAATTTTCGTAACGAGTACCGCACTATAGTTTTATGTTTGCCCCTCGACGTTTACAGCTGAGATCCGCCATCCGGAAAATGGTGGTTTCTAATAATTTATTATATGAACATTCATAATGTGCAATACATATTATATAAATCGATTCGCAGTGAGTAAAAGTCCGAACAATAGATTTCGATTTCGGCCGTTCCCTCGGGCATTGAGTAGGTACCTACCGCAATACGCACGTGTATGGTAATAAAGGACAGCTATTATTTATCGGTGACATCAAACGGTAGTCGTTTTACCATTTCTCAAACCAATTGTTTTGGACACCGTAGCTATTAACTGCGTATAAAATGAATTGGTAAGATACACCATTGAAAGTAAAATTAAAACAAGTGATAATAATTGATGCAATTTTTTTCACAAGCACAATATGACAAACGGATATATATTATTATATACATTATATAGGTTAATATATAATGCCCATGCAGTTTAAAATAATTATACATTATAAATACCTAGACTTAAAATTAAATTATAGGACACGAATAAAAATATATTCCACATTTCTACAGTAGGTAGGTATACTTATTAGACTAAACAATGTAGGTACCTATTTAATGTGTTCAAACCTAATAATTATAGTAGAAATGTAAAAATATAGAATTAATTAAAATAGTTAAAACTATCAGTTTTATTTTTCATATTTTTACCTTTCATTCAGTAGCGTACTCAGGATTTTAGTTCGGTTAGGGATCCCCATTTACATGACTCCGATTTTTATATACTTGGTTAAAACAAATAATAGAGTTTAAGTTTCAAATTTAGACAACATTTAGAGTATATTTAACCTGGTCATCTCCAATCATAAATTAGAGTACTTTATTATAACCTCATGAGGCCGATATAAACATGGAATAATAATTGATACAGCGATTATGGCAGGCTCTTAGGAATGTTCTTAGAACAGCCGAAAACTATGATTCTCGATTTTATAACTATTAAAATGACTAACAGACAACAGTTAATCTACTCTGTGTATTGATTATAGTGGTAATAATTTTTTTTTTTTGTAGAAAGAAGTAATTTTAGGGGAGTTAGAACCCTAGAACCCTACACTTGCGTACGCCTCTGCTTTCATAACACTGTCCTAAGTCAAAAAACATTAAACATAAACTAATAAGGATTTGCTTATTAAAAAATGTCTAAATAACAACAGATAGTAAAATAAATTACAATAATATCATAAAATCTTTGATCAAAATCGTTTTTCGTATACAATTATTTTATATACTATTGAAGTCAAATTTAACACATCCATCACCATACTACATACCATAATATATTTTTCCTCTCAATTCAAAACTAAAAAAATATCAGAATGCTAATTTTCATACCTATTTTTACTCTGCGCGGATGTAGCATATTAATTGTATCCATATTCACCAACAATTTAAATCATTGTGCCATAATTATTACCAAATTTTTTGTTTTCATATTTATGAATACCAACGTATAGGCTAAAATAGTTGGATAGAATTTAAATTATAATAATTATTATGTCTTTCAAAATGTGTTTCCAACCTGGTAAGTACATCAAAGTTATTAGCTATGTAATACCTACAGTGTATATACGTAGCACGTATGTCATATGTATTTACGAATATTATGTATTCACATTGGCAAATTACAATAAATATATATATAATTTCTTTCTTTTTTACATATATTGGAACTTCACAAAAAGTATCATTGTATAAAAATACCCAAATACCCATATTAATTAACATTTGTTATAATATTTTATAGTTATTGTAAAATAATTTAATTATTTTATATGGATACATAATTATATGTTCTATTTTGCATTTAAACAAAATTAGCATTTACAAATAAATTAACAATTAATTAACCTAATTACCTATTGGCCGTTGTTTAGAAAAATATTTTTTTATTTAACGTAAATACAATTACTGCACGCAATTTGTAAGTAGGTACATTTAAATATTTTAACTAGTACCTAATATCTATATGTATACGATCTACACTAATTAATTAGAAAAAAACTACTCAAAATGTGTATTTAATCTAAATACAAACGTATTTTCTATGAGAATATTTGGTAGCTGAAAACAATTTATTATAACCGAATTGTATCTAATGTTGTATTTAAAAGGAACAACTTTTTATTATAATATTTTAAAATATGTATATTATATTTGTAATCAATAACATTCAAATATCACACATTGATATACCTAAATTAAATTGTATCTATACCTATTAAAAAAAAAACTAAAAAAGTTTATACTGATAAATATCTCACAGTCATTATTTTGATGGATTGCTTTATCGTTTATACAAACCATTCTGAATAATGTGTGGTAAACGTATATTGTTTCTAGTACAGCGTGTCATTCACTCGATTAATTTTTTTTTTACCAAATATCGTCTGGATACATTATTTAATTATACAAACACACACGCTATAATATAATAGTTCGTGTTTCTGTCGTATCAAGTTAGTTTGTTATTTGGTATAATGTCATGGGATATATCATTTTTCTAATTGGTAACGTTAAAAAAATAATTAAAAAAATTTTCATCATGTATTCATTTAATTGATGTTTTATAATGTATTAAAAATTATAATGTTCATTAAAGTAAAAAAAAAACTGTTTTGAAACAGAAGTAAGGTGATGGTTGGTACTCTATTCTCTTTTCGAACAACGTTGAAGCGCGGGATATACCTACTTATTGGTGTTGTGATGTTAAAAAAAAATCATTAATACCTTTTTCAATTTTAAACAATTTTCAAAACCAACCATAACATCTGTTCACAAATTATCGTTATTATTGAGAAATTCCAAAATTAACCGTTTAAAAAAACTTTAGTTGATTGAATATTTAAAATTCTAATACTCCAATGACATTTTTTAGAGAACATAATAAATATAATATATTTATAGGTATAATAGGCGTACCTGCATTATGGTGTCATACTTTTCTGGAAAGCTCTTGATAAAGCCGATACTAAAGCTCTACCTATACGATCACTATATTATTTAATATTATATAGTAAATCCACAATAATGCACACAGACGTTAAATTATAATAGACTATAGCTTGTTTTAACTCAAGTCTGTAACTTAGGTATAACGATGATGGTGTGTATCGTGCGGCAATAACAACTCACCCATTAGCAGGAGGAACACGTACGGCAGAATCCTCATGGTTATGACGGGTCTGGTCTGTCACTTCCGTAATCGCACTCGGTCCACGAAAACTATGGCGGACGTCTTATTATATTATAATACTGCTGTTATCGACGACGACAATTTATCACTGACCAACGATTGGCGAAAATCTCGACGGATACCGGAGACGGAAAACGTACACGAAAGGACCACGGACGGTGACGATTAGCATTCGAACGGTAACGGTTCGCATTCGGACTGCGCGGCACAACCACTGACCCACACGCGCACACGCGGTCGCGTAAAAAAATACGGAGGAGATCCGTCGGGATTCAAAGTTGGCGTTCGACAGTCGAAGACCGGCTCTCGGGTCAGTGCAGTCGGTGGTTCCGACCGGTAATTATTACCGTACGCAGGCGGCGGCGGTGGCAATAATATGGCACAGAACGTCGTCGTCCTTTCACCGCCACGGCCGCCGCATCTCGTGTACCTACATATTATTATTATTATTATTATACATTATAAGACGCAGGTGGGTTCGGTCTATGTATTACGATTCGTGTTATTTGGTAAATCGGTGAGTATATCGATGAGAAATCGATGCCCGACGATCACGTATACCGTATCCGGGACCCGCAGAGGGTAGGCATAGATACCTATATATTCATCATTTAGTGTTAACATTTTAAATTAAACGACTGGAGTTCTGCAGACAGCTATAATGATATCGTAGCCCTACATTAACGAAATACCGATAATATTACTCGAGGTATGAAAAATGTGGTTTGGAAAGAAAATAAAAATATTTTGCTAGCTTAATTTTTGATTTAGGATTAAAACACCTTTTATGTAAGTACACCTTGTTTTAGACATCATACATTTTAATTCGTCATAAATATAAAATAAAATAAGGTTGCTCCAAAAAAATATAAAAAGTTAAGCTTTAGGGATATGCATGCGGTATAATAAATTATAAAAAACATTTAAAAGCTGTGTAAGCAATTTATTGCTTACTTGGATATTTTAAAAATAGTTATAACATTGTTCTGGTAAAATGAAAAAAAAAATATTTGTATTCTTTAACTTGTTTTACTAAATATTTTGACGCCCCCAGGACACGCCATCCTTATAGCAAGTTCCATCTGTCTTTACTAAATATAGCACAGTATCCAAAATATTATAAATATGATGCACTAATACAGCAATACGATTAGTAGAATACTTACGAGTTATGGGTGATATATATTTCTACTATAAAGTAAAAAGGATCTATAGATAGAATATATTCTCGTTTTTGTCAAAAAAAAAGTTGGAGAAACGCTCTGAGATTGCGTTTTAAATGATTTTAGACAATTTATAACTATTAAGTAATACAGGCGTATAATGTTAGGTATCTACTTTGGAAATTGTAATTCTATTAATTTTGAAGATCGTACAATAACAACGAAATATTATATAAACTATAAGCCATAATATATGACAGTACACGCACGTGAACATAAATTATCTAGTAAAAGCAACAACGATTATACTTCGATAATAGTTTCATAATTTACTAATGAATCAATGTGAATTGAGAAATATTTTACTGGTTTATTACGAGTTATTTCATATAAGAGTAAATATTCCATGCAACTCTATTCTGTATAGTTATAAGTTATAACTACTAAACAAGCTTCTGTAACTTATATGACTTATCTATTACTTTTTTTTGTTAAAATGGAGCTTGGCCAAAGTAAAATGAAGAAGAAATATAAGTTAGATTTTCTATAATTGTATGTAGGTAGTTTATAAGGTAGGTATGTTTTTATGTTTGATTAATAGCTTAGTGCCTATTAAAATTTTATTTTTGTGTGTATCAGTTTTAAATATATTTGTGTTAGTTGGTGACATCAGGCTCGACATCAAAACAAAAGTGAGGGAGACGTATATCTTTGTTTGACTATGAAGAATTTTTGTAGAATTCTGAGAAGAAGGCTTGGGATTTTAAATTATCTTTTATGGAGTCACTTATTAGTGTATACATAATGGTGGTCGGTGGAGGTGTCTACATGATATGATTTTTCATCACTTAGTGATATGGTTAATATGTATGGAAATTTGCATTTTTTTTTTCTTTTAAATACTTGATTATTGATTATTTTTCGATAAGCTTTAATGAATTGAGTATAGTATGTTTAGATAGATTAGGATAGATTTTTAGGGTATTTACAGAAGATTAGTACAGAAATTCTTCGGGGGATACCAAATACCAAATATCGAATTGTGTTGCAGAATGACTGATAACAGATAAGAATATTATGATTATTGGTGGCGCCCGTGGCAGCGGTGAAGTGGATGTAGATATGGATGTAGTTGTGGAGGCTGTTGATAATTTTGTGTTTAAGTGTGTTTGAATAACTGTTTCCATCAGAGGTAGGTATGTACACAAAAACAAAGATGCACTTATAAAATCTAAATTTTTTATTTTCTAATTTTTTTCTCGGTCGAAATCTGGTTAAACAACTAAAATTGGATGTCGGTTCATTCGAAGTTAATAGCTTCAGAAAACGATTGGAACCTTTCAAATAAAAGTGATATAAATAGATAACTTGAAGCTTCTAGGGTGTTTATAGATTAATTGTTCAACTTCTATACGCTATAGATAGCTAAAGGATAACTCATACATGGTTTTTCTCCATTTTACGAAAAAATAAATTTTTTTTGGTTATCTTATTAATGATAAATACAGAGTGTCCCTTGAGGATATACCCATTAACCGTAGAGGGGGGCTCTCCACCCCGGCAAAGGGCTGGTTTTTTTCTGTTTTACCTATAAACTAAAAAAAATATTAAAAATCATGAGATTAATGAACATAAAATGTTGAAAAGTCAAAACAACTAAGAATAACTTTTTTAAAACTATTTTAACAAAAAAATTAATTAAATTAAGAAATAAAATATGTGTAGAGTCCTTGTCTCTGTGTGTCCAATAAAAAAAAACATATTTATTATCTTGAGAGATATCGTAATGGGTAGACCCTCGCTGGACATCCTGTATATTATATTAATATTATAATTAGAAGAAATATGGCATATATATTTTGTACAAATATATTTATTAAAAATATTAAAAGTCGGGCTCAGAGCTAGGTTATAGCTGATATATATTATATAAATTATATGTATGGTTTCAATTGACCATAACTTATGTGGGATCTTATGTTAAATTATCATGCTTTTTAGCAAAAGATTAATTGTTTTATCAAGGTTTGTAGAAAGCCCTAAAATAGAAAATTTTAAGAGCCAATAAAAATAGTTGTGTATAGAAATTATTGATAATTTAGTAATAGGTAATGAAATAATATTGAGAAATAGATGAGAAATCGTTATTTTACGTTTGAATGACCAATTTCCTCAAATCTGAACCTCGAGCGCTTATAAAAAATATTATGGATTTAAGCATAACTTTTTTTTTTTAAATTCCAGTGAGTAAAACTTGTCAGATATGTTGTATTCCACTTTCAAGCCCAAGTATTAAAACTAGCAATTGTTTGAAGTATTAATTACAAGTTGTCAGGCATATTTTCACGGTTTGGACGAATTTCGTCGGAAATGTATTGTTTGTGTTTATTTTTAACAAGAATGATAGAATTTCAGAATACGGGTTAAAATATACCCTAAGGTGATGTATCAATGATTATTATTTTATTACAAATCAAAAACTATAGTCAATTTCATACATGACCCATTGCATAATATATCACGCACCGTTGAGTGTCCCGGAATGTTCGTTCAGGTGGAAATAGAATTATTCATATAGGTATGTGTGATATAATATGTAATTTATTATAAGCTCCAATCAATTTAATCTATTTCATATTATTATCTTTTATTATTTATAATAGTAAATAATTAAAAGTGAAATCAGTTTATTGACTTTCAAAGCTTTCTAATTTTCTCATTAATAATATTAACTCATATTACAACTGTTTAATTTTCCACATAGGACAAACCGTAATATTACCTACAGAATTATCCAAGAAATAAAATCAATATTTATTTTATTTAAGAGCTACCTCTGCAATAAATAGTGATATGATATGAATGTGTAAGGTAGGCAACCGTCTATGTCTTTCTTTGTATTTTCATGTGAATCGTGCAAATAATAAATAAATTATATAATAAATGTTTACACTTTATCGTTCACGTCAAAAAGTATTACTGCTGGGTAATTTTTTTTTAACTTGTCTTTCATGTCTAAATAAATTACCTACTCACATATTATGAGTAGGTACTGTAAAATATATAATATTATTGTGTAAAAATTGATTATTTCAAATAAGTTGTAAAAAAGAAAAAAAACATTCATAAGCAAAAATATATTAAAAAAATTATAACAATTCAAGTTTTGATAATTTTTACAGTAAATATATAAAAATTTAACTTGGTTGGAAATATTTCTCGAGTTATTATTTACAACAATGCATCTATACCTATTAATAGTTGAATATATGTGTATAAGACGTAACGCTGCATTAATTTTATTAGTTATTCTATATTATTTATTTTGTACCAATATAAATAAAACGAAAATTGTATTTATTTAATAATAATAATATTGTAATGTTTTAATATCGTAGTTAAGATTTTGTAGATCAAGGCAATACATTCTTAGACAGCCTAGACAAATTAAATTAAATGCAATACATTCGGAATCAATGAGATAATTTGGACTTTAAATAATCATTTTTTATAGTTTATCATGCGAGATTTTATTTTAACATAATTATATTATACATGATTTTATACTTAGAAGTTCTTAACATGGAAAATATGTTTGCTATTAATTTAAAATATCCTGTTTTCAATGACCTAACCTTAATGGAGTACACGAGAAATTTTCTGTAACGGAAATTATCGCACAACTATGTTTAACGACGTTGATTGAGAACATAATATGCCGTCAGTTCTTATACTAAACCTTAAGTGCTTCAGTTCACAAATCCAATTTCGAAAATAATTCCGTAGTGACGTCTTCGATAATAATATATTTGA